TGTGTGTGTGTGTGTAGATGGATGGATGGATGGACAGATGGACAGACATTGTGTGTGTGCGTGCTTAGAAGGGTGTAATTGTTCTGACTGTTGCCCAACGTTCAGAAAATAGCTTTTAAAAATGACTGCACCGGTTTCTTTTAATACTGGGGAAGAAGAACCATTCATTTCCCTTATTGTACAGGAAACAGTTTTGTTGTCAAAGATAACTGAACTATATATATATATATATTGTCTCCTGCTGTGCCCGCTGAGGTCATTCCAAGCTTCTCGACTCTCCCCGCCATTCATTTATATGTACTGTGTTTCCCCGAAAATAAGACCCTGTCTTATTTATTTTGCCAGCAAAAAAGGCACCCAGGTCTTATTTTGGGGGGGATGTCCTCCACTGACTAACCTCACCTGGGCGCATCTCCCCCGGCCTCCTTTTTGCTGTCAGAGGCCTTCAGGAACTTCTTCTTCTTCTGCGGCCGGCAAGGCTTTCCTGGAGGCCTCTGCAGCCAATAACAGAGCTCAGGATCGATCCAGAGCTTTGTTCTCAGATCCAGAGGCCTTCAGGAAAGCCTTACTAGCTGCAGAAGAAATGGGCCGGTGAGGCAGGTGTCGGGGGATGTGAGGCCTGGCTAGAACTGTCCAAAGGTAAGTAGTAGGGCAGCTCCACACACACCCCAACCCCACCCTAGCTTAATTTTTACCCGTCCGCCCTGGAGTGGGTGGGATCTTAATTAGGGCTTATTTTGGGCCCACGTGTAAAAAATCAAGCTAAGACTCACTTTCAGGGTAGGTCGTGTTTTGGGGAAAACAGGGTATTTATAACCTAGAATACATAGTCTTAATTGTAGGAGAAGTAAGCCGAGAGCCTTGGAATAGCCATACTAGTTTTGCTTTCAAAAATGTCCCCCCCCACTTCTTCTTCAGTGAATAGGCTGTAAAACCGTCTGAAGTTTTGCTCATGACTTGTTGCTTTGCTTTCGTTTCTGCAGGGAACACCGTTAGCAACTTGATTTTCATTCTCCCTCCCATCTATGGTGCAATCCAGAGTTACAAAGATGGCCTTGAGAAACGCTACATAATGGCCTACTTGTGTGTCACAGGTACGTGAGCTTCTCTTCCGTTCTGTGACTTGCTTCGACCGAAGGGTTTTTCTCTGACTTCAGTGGGATCTCTAGTTTGAATGCCCACCTTATGTGCCCGCATGAAATGTAGCTGGAATAGTGGGTCACTGTTAAACTTTCAGCCCTGAGAAATAATGTGAGCTCTTCTAAGAATTTTTTTTTTATCCCACAGCTTTTTTACCAAATCTGTTTAGAATTTCATGACATTTTTTCTCTCTTGTCTATCATATGTCTGTCTGTCTGTCTGTCTGTCTCTCTCTATTTATCTATCTACTCCTATCTCTCTCTCTTCTTTTTATCTATCTATCTATCTATCTATCTATCTATCTATCTATCTATCTATCTATCTATCATCTATCTATCTATCCCAATTGTCTGTCTGTCTGTCTGTATTTACCTATCTATTTACCTACCTATCTATCTATCTCTATCTACATCTGTCTGTCCATCCGTCTCTCTCTATTTATCATCTATCATCTGTCGTTTATATGTATCTGCATCTGTCCATCCATCCATCTCTTTCAACTGTCTGTCTGTCTATCTCTCCCCGTATATTGATCTATTTATCATCTATATCTGTCATTTATCATTTATATCTTTCTCTATCTACATCGGTCCATCCAACTGTCCATCTATCCATCTATGCCTCCATTCATCTACTGTCTCTCCGTCCGTCCATGCATCCATCCATCCATCCAGTGGTGGGATTCAACCGGTGTAACAACCAGTTTGGTGTGCGCACGCTAAATCATCCTGTAGGTGGTACTCTACTTATGAGGCCGTATGCGTGAAAACCGGTTATAAATCACTTTTTTGGGGGGTGCTTTTAACTTTGAATGGTTGCACACTGAGGACTACCTGCATGTATCTTTTTAATGCTTGTAAACCACCCAGAGTCACCTTAGGGGTGAGTGGGGAGGCATATACATTTCATAATAAATCCGTCAGAAAAAGAAAAATGTGTCAATATATATATCAAAAGCTGGACTGGCAGAAAGAAGCAATTCTGTCTCCTCCTTGGCATTCTTCTCATAATCCTTTCTGATTTGGGTTTCAGCTGTGGGCCTGGGCTCCTGGTGCTTCCACATGACACTGAAGTATGAAATGCAGGTTAGTAGCCCTTGGAAAAAGGGTGTGCGCATTTTGCGTCCCCTTGCCTGGATCCATTTTGCTTTCCTGGTTGATCGGTAGGGGTGGTAGGGTGCATTCATAGTGTCAGGATTCCGACAGTTACCCCCATTTGAATCCTGAGTCTCGAGCCAAACTTCCAAAACTTCAAAAGGATTTATTGGGAGTTAACATGTCCGGCACTGCCTGGGTGTAGCTGACTCTGAGACAGATAATTCACTGTCACCCTTGACCCTGGTTTTCCCTCCACCCTCTGGGTGTATCATAATTCATATTCTCCAGTGGGACACCTCCATAGCCCAGAGTCATCAATCATGCTCTCTGGTTAGAATTTTGCAGCGGCAGAAACTTCAGTCGCCTAGTTACTATCTTTGAAAACATTTATGGAATGCACTTTCGGTTTTGCAAGCTGCTGCATTGCTCCCCCTCCCTTTCTGTTGGCAACTCTAAAAAGACCATAGAAATATTTCATGAGCTGACACATGGCGTGTTTTGCTGTGGCTTATGTGCTGTCGTTTTCAACTCCTAGTGACCAAATACCCCAATAACAACTATGCTGTGGATAAAGTTAAAATACTATCCGAAGCCGGCTGGGAAGGTCACAAGTGGCGATCACACATGACCCTGGCATGCTGCAACCCTCATAACTGCATGCCAAGGGCATGACCATGGAGATGGTGCAATGGTCATAAGCGTGAGGACCCGTCGTTAAGTCACTTTTTTCAGCACTGTTGTGACTTTGAACGGTTTTAAGTTGAAGCTGCACCAGAGAATGGCCAGAGTGTATATCAAAATGGTTATGATGTTGTTGTTGCCCCTACGGTAGTTACACCATTGTCCCAACATGGCATGCAGTCCGAAGTGTTTCCCCCACCCCAGCCAAGTGCCAAATCTTAGTGACACCATTGTCAAATCCCAGGGGCAGAGCTTCTCACAGTTCTAAGGGAAGAACACACAACAGTTGTGGTAAAACAGCTTCACTGAATTTAAAGAATAATATTAACGCCCTTATACCACCACCCTCCATTTTAAAGTATGGAAAACTTTGGGTCCATCTCCTTGGCATCTTCTCCGTTGCAGGTTCTTAGCCTCCCCCCTCAAAAAATAAATGAATAATAATGTTGATCCTTTTCACTAAAAGTTGCCCTGCTCCGACCGAATACTTCATGCATTTTGACTTGGGGCTGCCATCTTTCTTTGAGTTTTTTCTGTAAGCGTCCATAATCTGTTTGTTTTTTTTGCAGCTGTTGGACGAGCTGCCCATGATCTACAGTTGTTGCGTTTTTGTCTACTGCTTGTAAGTATCTGTCATCAGTTTCTCTTTCTCTGCACGGGTTGCGGATTTGCTTCCAGGTGCAATTCAAGGTGTGCTGGTTGTCCCCTTTAAAGCCCTTCATGGCTTGGGACCAGGTTATCTGAGGGACCGTCTCTCGCCGGTCACACCTACCTGACCCATCAGAACAGGGAGGCAGGGAAGGCCGTGGGTCCCATTCCTGAGGGAGACCCAGAAGAAGGGCCTTCCCCATGGTGGCTCCCTCTCTCTGGAATATCATTCCCTCAGAGATTAAAATGGCCCCCACTCTGACACTGCTCCGGAAGGTGCTGAAGACCTGGTTCTGCCAGCGGGCCTGGGGAACCCAGAGCGGGAGGGAGCCCCATCAAAGGGCTCATGTGATCTGCTGTCGTCGCGGCAGGGTGGGTGGGAGTTTGGGGGGGGGGTGATTTTGTTCTTTTTGTTTTTTTATTGTTTTAAATGTGGTTTTACATTCTGTAAGCTGCCTCAAGTCGCCATGGGCGAATAGGCAGCAATATAAATTCAATAAATAAATAACTGATTAACAAGAGTTGCTCGCGGGCTTAAAATTGATCTCACTCACATAGATATGAGGGTTGAAGTAGCTAGTGGAGATACAGTACTGAATCTGCAGGGAGGGACTAGAATTCTCCATCTCCTGGTGTTTGGCTCAAAGTCACCCAGCCGGCTTTCATGGCAGGATTTTCGTGGAACTACAACTCACCATCTCCTAGTGATTGACCCAAAGTTACCCAGCCGGCTTTCATGCCTAAGGTGGAACTAGAATTCGCCGTCTCCTGGTGTCTAGCCTGGCGCCTAGTTTTAGGCAAGGCAGTGGGGGATTCTTGGAAACTACAGAAAATGTCTGTAACTTGTACGTCAATAAAAGAAATCCGGTTCAGTGCACAAAACCTATTTTCACTTGGTTATTTTTGATAATTTTTAGCCTTCGCATTTTTAAAGGTTGAATTTTCCTGCTAAGAAAAGTGGCTAGAGGATTGAATGTTGATGCTAGACAGTAGTAATTCTGGGAGAGAAATTAGCATCCATGCTTGACATCATATTTTTTTTCCAGTAACTCTCAAACAAACTCAGTCTTTTTTCTTTAAACCTGTTGCAACAACTGTTCCTCCCAATAAGCTGATTCTGAGCTTCTTTGGTACTAAATTTACCAAAACGTTATTAAAATCGGTGCTCTTGTGACAGTTTGATGGAGCTGCAAAGCCCATAATGTGCTTTGGATGTTTGATTTTTCCAATTTTTTTCTCTTTCTTTAAAATGTACAACAACTGTCACGGTCTCCTTTTATATAACACTGGTTAACATGGGAGGGGGGGAGGGAGAATTCCCTCATAAGGTAGCACTTTTGCTAATGTGAAACAATTTTGTTCTTACCCACGCCTCTTGCTTTTTATTATAAGTGGGTCTAATTTTAGAGAAGGGAGTTAAAAAGCACAAACAATTCTTTTGTTATGAGTAGAAAGAGTATTCTTTTAAGAGTGACTAAAAGAGGGTATGCCTCTGATCGAAACAAGTTTGACAAGTTTGCAATTCAGGTTTGCTAAAGCTGAAAACAAAACAGAATAATTATTCCTATTTCAGATCCCCTTCATTTGGAAAAGGTACAACCTGTTTTTTTTCCCCCTCCCGTGTTACCATGGCTTTGAAAATTATCAGCTTTTCTGCAGAATCCTAGAACTAAGTAGAATCTCACCCACTTCTCACAAGTGTATAATTGTTTGTAACTGTAACTTCATTTTATATGCCTACATTTTATGATAACGTAACCCTCCCAGAGCTACTTCAAACCATGAGATGGGCGACATATACATTTAATGAATGAATAATAATAATAATAATAATTCCTCATCGGCAGGAACTTACAAACGAGATCCCTTTACTATTTGGAATCCTACACTCCACAGAATTTTAAAACTGCACCAACGGGTTTTGTTGCTCCTGGTGTCCCCAAAAAGCTCCTGTTCGAAAGCCCGAGGACAAATTGTGCGTTAAAGGATTTATTTTGTCTTATCTTTTGCATCCTTGATCTTTCTCGTTCGTGTTTGTTTCAGGTACGAATGCTTCAAACACAAGAAAACAATCAACTACCCTCTTCTCTTTCTACTACTAGCCTACAGCATTGGCGTCAGCATAGTAAGTGAAATTTGTCTTACCTGAAACTATTTTTACAACAAGGTGGGGTGCTTGCAAACTAAGGACCCACCCACTGCTTTCCTTTCCCTTATGCATTTTAATTAGTCCTCAGCTTAACGACCACAATTGAGCCCAGAATATCAGTTGCTAAGTTAGTCGAGTTGTTAAGTGAGTTTTGCGAGCTTTCTTCCCACGGTACTTTACTTTACTTTACTTTTTTACTTTACTTTTTTACTTTACTTTACTTTACTTTACTTTACTTTACTTTACTTTACTTTACTGTACTGTACTGTACTGTACTGTACTGTACTGTACTGTACTTTACTTTACTTTACTTTACTTTACTTTACTTTACTTTACTTTACTTTACTTTACTTTATTGTCATTGCACCTCGTACAACGAAATTAAATGCCAACTTCAGTGTACATTATGACTATGAAAATAAACACAAACACACATCCTTCACGTTCTATACATTAAATTGAAAACCCCTGATATTGCACTATATAGTAGAATTCAATAGAGTTCCTGCCCTGGGATAGAAGCTGTTTTTCAGCCTATTTGCCCTTGTTTTTATTATTATCCTGTACCATCTGCCAGATGGTAATAGTTCAAAAAAAAGGAGCCCAGGATGAGATGGATCTTTGAGAATGTTCTGAACTTTCTTAAGGCAGCGGGAGCTATAAAGCTCTTCCAAAGAGGGGAGAGGGTAACCCATGTTCCTCTGGGCAATGACATTAACCCTCTAATATCTGCCCCTGTGCAATTGGCAAACCCTACACAGGTGTGCAGTAAGATACTCTCCATGGTGCAGCAGTAGAAGGTCACAAGCAGTTTTTTTAATTCAGTTGTTGTTTCCTGAGAAGTCTCAGGTAGTATAATCTCTGCTGGGCCCTTTTGACCAGGGCTGCAATGTGAGCACCCCAGGTTCTTAAGCGAATCGCTGCGGACGTTAAGTCAGGAACGCAGTTGTTAAGGGAATTTGGCTTTCTCGTTGAGTTTACTTGTCAGAAAGTCACAAAAAGTGAGATTACATGACTCAGGGGACACTGCAGCTGTTGTAAATATGAACTATTTGCCAAGCGTCTAAAGCTTGATCAGGTGACCATGGGGATGCTGCATTGGCCCTGTGAAAAATGGGTCATAAGTCCCTGTTTTTCAGTACCGTCGTAACTTTGAACGGTCACTAAACGAATGATTGTTCCATACCACTCTGTACTGTGGTATGGAAAAGCACTTTTTGTTTTTTTTTGTTTTATTGCCGCGATGGTGAATTTTCCCAAACGAGAAGCATCTGTAGCTTTGTTCCTCAACCTCTTCCATTTTAAACTGGGTGGACTTCAACTCCCAGAATTCCCTAGACAGCCATGACAGGCCGAAGAATTCTGGGAGTTGAAGTCCACCCAGCTTAAAAGTCGCAGAGGTTGAAAAAAAAAAAAAACCGATCTGCAGTCCGTAGGAAGAGAATCGTAACCTCGCAAAGGCTGGGCTTGCCAGATCCCTTCCATTCCATCCCTGTCAGACATTTTCCTGATTAACTGGCTTTGCTTTCATCACGGTTAACTAAATTGAAGATTTATCAGCTGCCTTCACAGAGCTTGTTTAATGTGAATCATGATTCATTTGGGGTGTGTAGGTATGTATGTGTGCATTGGGCTAACTCAGCCTCTTTAGTTAATGACTAATTAGTTCAACTTTTGGTTAAGGCCAGAAAATGAGTGACTCAGTCAATAGCGTAGTGTCAACCTGGCCAGTGAATGTCTGGGCATCGTCCTAGCAAATTGGGGAGGAGAAGTAAGAAGAAGAAGAAGAAGGGAGTAAAATGTGGCCCAAGTAATGCAGAAGGACACAGTTGGGATTCTCTGTAGTTTGGTGCCCTCCAAAGCAACATGTCTCAGCCTTGAAGATATATATGGACTGCAACTCCCAGAATTCCCCAGCCAGCATGGAGATTATTGGTCTAAGGTAGTGTTTCTCAGCCTTGAAGATATATGGACTGCAACTGCCAGAATTCCCCAGCCAGCATGTGGTTCACACATCTTTAAGCTGCCACGGTTGAGAAATATTGTCTTAAGGCACAAGTCTTCCATCTTGGCAAGTTTAAGACTTGTGGACTTCAACTCCCAGGGTTCCTGAGCTAACATTAGTGGTAAAGGAATTATGGGAGTTGAAGTCCACAAGTCTTAAACTTGCCAAGTTTGAAGACCCCTGATCTACAGTATCTGTCTTCTATCTCCATCTCCGTATCTATCTATCTATCTATCTATCTATCTATCTATCTATCTATCTAT